CCTGCTTACACAAAGCCCGGCTTGAACAGTGAACCGCAACTTCCTGCATGTCCCCTTACGCAATATGCATCGAAGCGTCAGGCGCGTACCCACCCAGGTATGCAATCTAGTCCTGTTTCAGAGACTAGTGATAAGGGGCTATATCACCCCCGGCGTGCCTTTCGCCACCCGCGCACGCCAGCTGCCTACAAACTGTAATAAGCGGGTGAGGCGTCAGCTGGCCTGGTAGCAAACTTGTTAGGTAGATACGCTGGGCGAAGGGCCGTGTGTCAGTGTAACAAACTGCCAGCTAGCCACAAAGGAATAAAGACACTAAGGTACGAAACTAACGTTGTACTACGTTTGAGCGCGCGCCCGGGTAGCCGGTTGGATACCCTCCGCTCGGGTGGCGGTCAATTTGACCCCCTGATATCTCAACAACTAAGAAGGCTAGTAACCCCATATTCACAGGGTGTGTTGGCGTGTGCGTGGACTCACTAAAGTCACATTGTGAGGTTCCTAGGTTTTGACCTGCGGGTCAAATAAGGTTAAACAATGTCAAACTCCAAGCTGGTCTCCAAACTGTCCCAGAACCTAGATACCCGTTTTAGGCAAAAGTTCACGTGCTCATTTAAGGTCAGTGAGCTTGTTTGACCTTTCGAAGGTCATGGTGACCAGAATCACAGAATACTGCTTTGAGTTTTACATTTGAATAAGTGATAAACATTAAGCTGGGCAGTATGTTCCCAGGAACGGAATCTTGACCAAGCTCATTTTACGCCAGCGACCTATTGGGACCTTAAAGAAGTCCATGGAAGATGTCTAATGCGGTTCCTGTTATCAATCATTTCGGAACGAGCACCAAAAAATGTCTCATACGGCAAGCCAAAGAGTAATAAAACACGTTGGTTTTCACCTTAGTCTGACTCATACCTGACCCTAGGTCAATAGAGTTTGGTCATACCACTGTTGTGTTGCCTAAGAAAGTATCTCACAGATGTAAGGCTTCGTCTAACACCCCGGTGTTCCATCAGATTGCACGCTTCCCTAGAAATTGGCCTCGCCGAATCCATGGCCTGACTTTGACTTGTTGTAGGTTAACGACCTTACAATGTACATCTAATCTTTTCATACCGCACGATCCGCTATTCAATTGCCTAAAGTCGTGCAAAATTAGACACGGCTACACCGTGCCGTTCGGAAACCATTCCGGAAAAACCCTCTTGGGGGTCATTCCATCCCCCACCCCAGCGCGTATCAACCCACGTTCGGCCAAGCGTCCGAGACAATCGCGCCCGGGTGGGGAAGTTGGCCTCCATCCGAGACCTCCCACTTCCAGACGCCATTCAAGAAAAAGAAAAATACCGTTTAGACAGTTTCGTCAAACCATGAATAATGCACGCCAAAGTTTTCACATTAGGTCAAATCTGACGTCATAAGCGCCCACAAAAGATAAAAAACGGTCGTTCCGATAGGCGCAGTTAAAACCTACGTTAAAAGCCAAGGCGGGTATTGAGGGCACACAAATACGCGTTAAGCCTGTGGAAGTCCATTCTGGTCATTTCTGTCGTCAACATAGGTCCGGTAAGATCGGGTTACCGTTGAAAATTGGTCAACCAATAACCCATAGAAGCGATACTTTCTTTACAATGCGCTTCTGATCGAGTATATTTTATTAGGTGTGGCTGTGGAAGAGCAGTATTCCATACACAAAAACACAATTTTATTCAATCTAAAGGCCGTAGAAGTAAAAGTATTCAAGATCACCTACGTGCTGTTAACATTATACCCAAACCCTTCAAGGCTTGCCCATGTATGTGTAACAAATTGAGAGTAGATATATTGGTACATGAAATTAGACGTCATCAACTTCACAAACAAGACAACGAGGTGGTTTCACGCGTCGCATTTATTCGTTGATCTAGTCCCTCCGCTACCAGCAACATAGGTCATCGACCTTGGATGACCTCATATGACCTTGCGCGTCCCTCCACGATCTATTACACACACACACACACACACACACACACACACACACACACACGCACGCACGCACGCACGCACGCACGCACGCACGCACGCACGCACGCACGCACGCACGCACGCACGCACGCACGCACGCACGCACGCACGCATATATATACATATCACCTCAACATGCATTCAACTAATATCGCACGTATCAAGTGAAGCATTCGATTTCTGTGCGCAAAAGTGTCTTTATTAATACAGCCAATGGAGTTCAGCAAGTGTTTTGCAGAACATATCCAAGATACAGGACTTGCCCTGGGCCTAAGTCACGTGCTCTGTGGTCATATAATCGTACAACTTTGAATTATGACCGAACAATGGCCAAGTTTACCTGACTTCAGGTAAGCGACCCGGCATTTTCCGAAAAAACTGAAATGTATAATTTGTAGGTAGTGTCATGTCCTACTACGATAAACACCTTGGACACTGACATAAGACCTAAAAAAGTTAAGCGTAGTTAAAAATTTTTAGAGGTTGACATCTTTGGCCCGACCTATGTCGCTGACCTTGGCAGCTCAAAGCTTTACACTTGCACACAGGGTGTCAAACTGATAGATAAACGGCTGTAGAAAATTTCGGGTCATTTGCGAGCACATCATTGCGAGCATTTTTCTTTGATCTGTGCTCGGAAGACCGTGGGGGGGGGGGAGAAGTCAACTCCCCCTCCCCGCCGGGTGCGGGTAAACTGCTTTCTCTTCGGTGTAACCAGGGACATCGTTTCACAAAATTAGTTGGGGGAGGGCCAGATGAGTATTGTAGCAGAGGCCCCAACTAGCCAAAGTATTGGGGGGGGGGGGGGCAAGTAAATGCTGAGGGCTCACGTAGGAATACAAATCGACATCCATGACCAGCCCGGCACATATTGGGCAAGACCAGGGGGAGGGGGGTCACTAAGTGTGTTGGGTCGGGGGGGGGCGAGTGTTCAGGAACTGATCCTCGTGAACAAAATGGGGCCTCCTCACAAGGAGCTTCCAGGGCCGTGTCAAATTCAGGGGAAGGGGCACCCAGGACGTGCACCCTCTTGTCCAACTGGTATATGCATCTGGTATTCTAAAATTTCAGCAATCGACTTGCAAGAGCCCACATTACAATCACGGTTGCGCACAAAAGAAATGCAAGCACACATTACGCCTCCCCCCCCCCCCCCTCTTACAATTACCCCGTAGTCACCTCCTCTTTCGCCGTAGCCGAAAGAGACCACGATACAAAGCGCCACGATTCATGGGCACACAAGCATTTCACTGGATCACGCATGACCGGAGTCGTCAGATTTCTAAACATCTGTTGTTGTCGGTCGGTGGGTCTTGGCCATCCAATGCCTGTCATTAAATAACCATACAAGTCAAGAGTCAAAAAGTGAGCGCACAAAGACGCGGCAATACAGGATGCAGAGCTCCCCCCCCCCCCCCCCATTTTCCCTGTTTACCGATAATTGGACGTTTCACCTCTTATGTATGATCGGCTTGCTATATCCGATTTGAGATAACACCATTGGTGACGTCAGTTTTTCTGGTTGTAAACTAACCATTTCGCTTGGTGATTCAGCTCGTGATCAAGGTGTGCATTTTGGTGATAGAAGTGGCCACCCTGGTTGCCCAATTAATTTTATCCCATTTTGAACGTTTTAATGAACGTGCAATTGCCGGTTGCATCAAATTTCGTTTATTTAAATACGTGAATCGCATTTGTTTCAGTTGCAATACCCCTTTCGTCATCTCAAACCTCAATATCAACCCTCGTCCTGATAAGGTGCGTGGAGGGGTCAATGCGACCTCTCTGAGGTTTCGTATGGTATCTCTCCGGAATTCTGACATCACGCCCACATTTTCTGTAGCATATGGGGCATTCACTGGTTTTGTTTTAACACCTAAAAATGTGTTCGTAGCCTGTCTGGTTTCAAAGCAACGCTAGTTTCTTTATGAACACTCCACTTGACGGGCGGCGGCCGACGATGCCGTGGGCCGCGCGCGTCGGGCCAACATTGACTCATCCAAAAACTTGTACCAACCGCGAGATTTCGTCGGGATCAATCCAATGGTGTTCCCGCTCAGCTCCATCTTTATTAAATTGAAACACCGGGGGTCGCATCGACCATCAACCCCCTCTCCCTATCAGTCTGCTCCATGAAAAAAATGCGAATCAAGGGCGAGCATCAAAACTTCGGTTCCTTGGGGACTCCAAGCGTTGCGACCCCTTTTCCAGAGCTGAGTAAGTATTGTAAGAATAAAATATGACGTAGTTTTCTTCCTAAATAATTTCAGCTCGTATCTTTTGAAGTCATCCAGGCGACGCAAAATTGTATGTGACGTCACTTACCACGAATATTTTCGCGCTACAAATGCATCTCTGAGTGGAGCATGTGTGCGCCATAACTGAATTTAACAAGTTTCCTTGCATGGATACTATATCAAAGCGCAGAGTACCATAGGGGTTTACCAACTTTATTCAAATGTTCCGGATATGGACTAAAATGTACTGAGTTTTAACTGCACCTCCCTGAACGTACAACGTTAATTTTACGCGAAATGTCAAGAGTTGCACCTGCCTACGCGATATAAAGTCCCTGCAGTAATTTGCGATTTTTACAGCACGTATACGAAAATGTTCTTGGAAGGGTTAACAGCAATGCCTGCATGTAAATAACACAATTTCTACCAGCAATAGCAGAATCATCAGCATCTCCAGATCGGGGTATTCTTCTTCGAGATTTCTCGTGCAGATTTTCCGTGGTTGGTTTTGGTTTAAGGCGAACGTTCCTTAGGAAACCCGCCACCTGAGAGGAATGGCAAATCGTAGTAAGTAGATTGACACCTTTGAAATGTTTGTTTCATCCCTGCTATTGGCAGTGATATCCGCGGCGGTCCTGCTGACCTATAAGAGTTGATGGGCCGTCCATAAAATACGCCGGGCATATTGGCCATTTTTCAGCCCCATCCCCCGGTTACGCACCGGTTATTCTGGGCGAAAAGGCCTCCTCTGGTTACGGTTTGCGAAGCGGAACGCCACAAAAAAGGTAACGTCCGTTTGGGCACTAATTGAGCAAGAGATGCGAAGCACAGATGGGTTAGTTGGTTGTCACGAAAGGAAACCTACGGCATCCCGCGCAGGGTAACGCCACCTAATCGCTTAAAAGAGGGCTCCAATACCCCCCCCCCCCCACACACACACACTCACCCACGCAAAGAAGAGTGGGCCAAATCCGGGCGGCGGCTGGTTGGAATATTTTACGGTTCGGTTTTGACGTGTTATGCTTGAACTAATTTTTGCCGAGCTACGCCCCTGATCCCGCATTACAGTCCAAGACGTTCAAAATAAACTTACATGATTTTCAACCACGTTGCACTTCCCAACTCTCCTCCCTTGCTGTGTTTCGTTTCGGTCGCACTCCACCAGTCCCCCCCCCCCCCATCCCGCCCCAAGCGAAACGTAAAAGATGGACGGCGGCGAGGGTCAGGGGCGTGGCTGTGGGAGCGATGCCCCTCCCCATGATCCAAGAAGGTTACACCATAAATGCCGGAAATTTCGAAAAATTTCGGTCCAAATTCGCACGGTTTCGGATACAATTTTACCTTGGGGCCCAGCTGAGGAAACTTGGCTCCGTGCCTTGCCACGGTCCGCATTCTCATCTACGATGTCATTTGAGGGCGAAACGGGCTAAAGGTGTTCATAAAGTGAAGAAAATGCACTCACAATGGTTGTGTAGTCCATAGCATGACGTTTTCTAGAAAAGATTGCAATAACAATGTGCGAAAACGGGACCGACCACTGCTGGGAAAGTGCCAACTGCACAGTCGCTATCCGCGTATCGGGAATCAAGGATGAGGAAAATAAAAACGTGTGCTTAAGGTTACGCCTTTCAAATCACTCGTTTCGTCACTGAGGAGTAAACAAGTGCCTTATCTGAACTAATAAGAGCTAGCACCCCACATAGATGATACCGTTTCCATGGTCCTGTATTCTTGAAAAAAGGACAGAGAGTCAGGAAAATATGTGAGAAACTCCCCCACCCCATCAATCACAGCCGTGAAGTTACACTGGAGTTATGTAACAGACCAACGGAGGTTGGAGTCGCAGGGAACGTTTCCACGAGATCGACAATCCGCAAAATAGCCGTTGGCCTCCGAACGAGCAAAATTGTTCAAGGTGATGCATAGACCGCTAGTCGGTCAACAGCTCCGGGACCGTAATGGAACGACATACGTCTTCCGCGATTCCGGGAGAAATAGTAGATCTTTCTGTCCCCTGTCTTGTCTAGAAGGTAGATCTCTTGCAATGGTAGGCACCAGGTGTGTCACTTTCTGGAATCGGTTGGGGGCTGAGCCAATTAAGTTGGCCTAACCTGCCCTAATTCCTGATTTATCTCCAGATTTCGGTCACCTTGAGTTTTGAGTTCCAGATTTCTAAACAATAGAACAAAATTGCAAAAAAAGCAATGGATTTAAAAAATTGCCGGTTCCAAAATTATTTCGATGTTGAGCAATTACTTCCTATTTGAAGCCGATGTGATGGTGATGATAGCGATGGAGCATGATGATGATAATATTGATCATGATGCGTCTAGGTATTTAGTGTACCAGTAGTTTATATGCTTGCTGCATTTCGTTGGCCCATTATGGCATGTTTGCTCATGTGCATTGGAGAGAGGATGGAGGGCTGCATGAAGTCAGGGGGCATTTTGGAGACCAATCTGGAGTTTGACTTTGTTTTATCTTATTGAACCCGAAGGTCATGATCAAGTACTCTCACGTTTTGGCACAAGCGAGTTGATATACCTGCCAACCCACAGCATGAATTTGGTGTCTCTAGTTCTGTTTGCTATTGAGATCTCAGGGAGTTAAATTGCCCTCCCCCACCCCACCCCTCCCGAGCGACAGGCATTCAACCGGCCGGCCAGGCGGGTGTTAAGGCTTCAGACCCAGAAATAATTTGTCATCTGTTAAGAACTGTGCCCATTGGCAATCTTACTGTTGGTATCTGTATCATACTGGAAAACGAAATCGCAGATTTTCCAAGAAAAGCTTCCTGGGGGTATAACAGTGCGGACACCCCGAGCGAGACCAGAGCAACGATGTGAGCCAGCTGCACAGACGGCCGCACGGCGCTCAGGATGTCAAAATAGGGAACATATCTGTCTGGCTGGATACCGATAGCGTGAGGTATTCTTCATTTCACTAATTCAACTAAATGTTTGTAACCCTGTCATAAATAGTTTTGAATCTCTTGCAGCACTGATGGTATGCGAGTTGCAAATAGAATATAAACGCTGTTCGGAATATACCCGAGCATTTAGTAAAGCACAGGGTGTCCTGAAATCGCCATGGAGGTAGGCCGTCCAGGAAGTGGTGGAATAAGCGTGTGTAAAATAGAATGCAAGATCCAGATTCGCAGGGATTTGATTGATTCTGTTTTAGCGGTTTAATGGTTTGCCTTTATCTTATTTAACCCCACCAGTTGAAGGACTGACTTGCGTGGAACTTTAATTTTGGCCCAACTTTGCCCACATACGCTTATTTGCGATAATCGCATAAAACATGCGTAATTTAGCGGAATCGGTTCGATAGCGCTGGGCCTAATAGACTTAAAATGCCCTCGTTGTGGATTGTTTTTCATGTCGTCCACTTTATCTCCCGGTCCGGAAAAATATGTGGTTTTAATGTAATAATTTATTATAATATAATAATATAATGTATTATAATATAAAAATAATTTTTAGCATAGTGTTTTCGGCAGTACGGGAGGTCGAAATTGGATATAAAGGAATAGTTAACCCATCAATGTTTATTTTGCCACGCTGTTTCCTTTGATCACTGTATGTTTTTAATTGTTCGCGAGACTGTTTTAGGCTGGTAGGTGTTCAGGTACAGTTGAGAGAGTTCCAGATTCTTCAACTATTACTGATTCAACGCCTCTTCGTGTGAAGATAACCCCATGAAACGTGGTGCAGGCCAAGGAAATGTGACCATAATCCTGCACGTAACTGAATGATGGCGGCACAGATTCTGGAACAATTAAGGCCTTATTCAAGAGCAAGGGTAACTACGAAACAACACGGATACCACAAGATGGGGAAACAAAAAGTAAAAAAAGTATTTGATCTACGAACACACCGCGAGCCTCTACCCACAAGCAAGCAAATAGGCTACTGTATCTTTGAAGACGAACTATCTATCGAGGATCTGAAAATCCCTGATTATAACGAATGATCAGAGGCCATTGTCATGCAAATTGACACTTCTACCCTCTGAGGACAGAAATGAGACCCCAGGGAATGTGAGAATAGCGGACTGCAATTAGCAGCAGCATTTTTCAGAAGTGTTCCTGACCGATAGGTTTTGACATGTCTGAGGACAAGCGCCCACACGCGTAACTTGGTGTACTTTTGGGGACGTAGCAGCATCCCCAACATGAAATTGTGCATCCTCCATTCATGATGGGGCACCCCCAAAGATTAGCCTGCTCCAAGTACCTTTTCGCTAGGTACCCTCCAAGTACTTCCTACATCTAGGACACCGAAGCATATCAAAACTGATCTGCGTCATCCCTCAGTGCTGATCAGTTTTAGTCACATAATTAATTGTGAATGTAATTGAAGTGTGAGACTGAGAAAACACTCACCGTGGACTACTTGTGGCCTTGAAGTTGGATAAACTTAGGATGCTCATACTCGGGAGATGGTGGCGGGAAGTTGGATACAAATTTGGGAAAAGTTTCGGTTAGGGTACGGGTATTGGTGGGACGTCCACAAAATGTCGGGTAGATGCTGCAAGAAACACTGACAAATGTTTCCCTCCGTGCTTATTTTAGTCAGTACGAGCTTTCAGCTTGCAACTTATGCAATCATTGACGCAAAAGAGCAGGTCTCAGACTACATATTTCGGGGCTTTTTAGTGCTTTAGAGCTGAACACTGAAAAAAAAGAAGAACGTGAGCATCAGACAGCGAATAATGTAACGAGTCAACTGCGAATAGCTGCCCCACCCAGTGAGCTTTTAGCCCAGTCATGGATGCTTGTCACTTTCTGAAACCATATTTCGCAGACTGTGGTTGCACTTGACGTAAAATCTGGTACAAGAAATAAAAAATGCTCGTGCCGAGAAGCAAGTATTTAAAATGGAGGACAACTGTGCCATTCGGGACCCTATGTACAACCAAAGATTGTCTTCGAACCTCTAAGCCTCCTTTGGGGGCGGAGCCAAAGTGGCGCACAGAGCAATAAGGAATGGCACAGTACCAACCGAAATTTGAAGGCATCGTGTTCCAGTAGTTGTAAACCCACTTGAAGGGTCAGTCTGGAAAGTATATAGGCTAATTTACCACCCCGATCGTTTTACAAGCATGCCAATCAAAAGCGGAGTGAGAAGCCGCAGAAGACCGGAGTTGACCCAATGCTCTTATTGTGGTTTCTTGTCCACCTCAGTGCTTTCATTCTGCTTTACTAGGTAGCTTGACAGCGTCATCGATCAGTAGCCACGATCGGCCAATTGTTGCTCACAGGTTCACGCGCGATGAGCGAGTTCGGCCCGAACGTGAGCCGTCTTCAGACGAGCGTGCAGGGGCTGCAAGAGGAGGCAGAGACCTACCAGCGGGCGGCCGGCGAGCTGCAGCAGCGACGCGACACGCTCCAGCGGCAGGTGGACGACGCCGACCAGGATCTGGTGCAGCGTCGCGCCGCCATCACCCAATTTCAGTTTAAACTGAAGAGTCAGGGCTTGCTGGTGGAGGACTGCGAGAGACGCGCTAAAGGTGGGACAATGGTGCGTGGGCGGAATCACGAAGTTGTGGAAGACGCATCGTGCATCATCACTACCCTGTCGGCATGACCGTGACAGAGTGGCTGGTGTTGTTTGCGACATACGATTACCGGTGACTGGTCACGCCGTCATTGTTGGGGCTTTACGACGCACTCAGCCCATGAGGTTATGCGGCGTTGCCTGCCTGTGATCCTGACAGAAAGGGCGGGTACCGCAGGGATTCAATCCTCGAACCTTTAGTGTTCCAGACGCGCAGCTTATCCATTACATTACCTGTATCCCACTCTGGTCAGTCGGCTAATTACATAGTGATAAGAACTGAGTGAGAGGCCACTCTTCTTTTCACTATTTCACGTTATTTTGACCGGCTGTTTTTGCCAAAAGCAAAAATCGGTAACATACCGCACGTAAGATTAACGTCACCTTCTCTCATGCAAATGGTGCATGTCCATTTTCCTATCGTCAATAACAATACCGATAATAACAAAAGAGAAATGTTAACTCTTGAAGCACCACTTACACAAGTAAGCAGGCAACTCAAGTACAGCAAGCCAGAATAACTCCCATTCTGCGTACTTTGTTACCAGCCCGTAAGCAGTGCATACAATACGCCTAACCATCTTAACCAGCCGGGGAGAAAATGTGATGTGCACGTCTAGGTTTTGATTTACACCCCTCTGTTGGGTGATATCCGCTCAGACAGCGTGTCCCTATTTTCAGTCGGTTTCAGTCACTATCGCAAGAATTTTGACGTCCATTGGCAACCGTTCATCGCCCGCTAGTAAGAAAATGTCGTGCAAGTAGTTCACAACAGATGTCCTCCCCGACCAGATTGCCCCATTGTCCTGGCACGGCTACCGGCAGAGGCGGAGCAGGAGAACGACTCGGTGCGGGCCGAGCTCACCAAGATCAGGGAGGCCATCGCAGCCGAGAAGCGGAACCGACTGGAGCGCCTGGACAGCATAGACGGCCGCGTACAGAGCCTCGTGCGGCAGTTTCGGGACGCGGCCGCGCTGACCCACGATGACCCTGGTCGTCAGGTACGTCCAAAGGCACCAGACCGCTAGCACTGACTAGACATTGGCATTGTCAGCCGTTTACTGCCAGAAGGGCGGCTTCGGCGCCGCAGACCGACCCCTGGATGGACGCGTTCACTTCCCGATCGTGGAGCACATGCTCCAATGCACATCCGCTGGATGGGGCCCTCAACTCCCCCCCCCCCCCCCCCCCTCCCTCTTAACGCTCATGCCCGTCTGATCGGCCCGGGAACTCTAGAAATACTCTGCCAGAACCACGAACAGAACAGGGCCAATAACTGAACAGCCCTACACACGCATTTTAAGCTTCTAGTTTCATCGATGCGCGGAGCCATCGCGCAAGCGCTTGCTTTTAGTTATTTCGCGCGCAATCACCTTACAAATATATGAGAGATAAAGCAAAACTGTAATCGGGGTTAACTCACAAGAGTCGCAAAGATTAACCCTACCTTAAACTCATTGCTTAATATAAAGCAAAGGTTTACTTTAAAGCACGGAAACTGAGCTACATGACGTATTTTCACGTATTCTTGTGCCGGATTTGCGTGAAGATTGTGAGGAGAAATGGTCTGAAAGCCTGTAGTTTCCTGTGAGGCTGTTTGTAAAAATTGCTTTAAACATACGCGTTTATGCATACTTAAGCGTCCATACATGCGGCGCCTCACTGGCCGAGAATTGTTGACAGGATGACCAAACGGAGTCGGCGCGTCGCCGGGTCGGGGAGCTGCGCCAGACGGTGGACCAGCTGGCTTCACAGTTGGAAGCCGACCAGCAGAGCCATGTGGTGCAGCCCGAGGTCAAAACTGCCACGCTGATCGAAGCCCAGGAAGTTGTAGATGGCCTCAAAGAACAGCTGGGTCTGTAGTGACTGACCACCCACCCCTCGCCGGCCAAGTCTGGTGCAGAGGAAGCGCCCAAAGCAACGAATTCCGTGTGGTGCAAGTTACATATGTTCCGCTCCGTGAAACGGCTGATACTGCAATACTCCCGGTAACGATGTTTTTTTTACTCAGCGACGGCAATCTTATGTTGACAGCAGTGATGCCGTGAGACAACAGTGATGTCTCTCCGTGTGCGATCGCAAACCTCCGCTCAGAGATCACTGGAATGGAGCCGCTTGTGTTACATTCCTGCATTCCAGTGTAGGTATATATTTCGGGCATTTGTTTCGACGTTCATAACTGGTTTGAATACACGTTTCCCTTTATCGAAACCCTCCGCCAAGCTCCATTTATCACCAAGATCCAACGAGACCGGTAAACCCGAAGCCTAGAACCCAGGACATTGCCTTAGGCAATCCAAGCACATGCGGAAGCGAAAAGGAATTTGACCATTGTGGCAACGGACTAAGTGCTCACGCCTTCAACGCCGCATCCAATTCTCCACTTTCCACCAGTTCTTTGACGATGTCTAGCCCACCAACAAGCTCGCCCTTAACCCAGAGCTGCGGGTAGGTGGGGAAGTCAGCAAATCTTTTCAGCTCTTGTCGCACCTCCTCGTCCGAAAGGATATCAAACGTGCTGTACTCCACGCCCACTGAATTCAGAATGTCCACCAGCTGACGGGAAAAACCGCACCGCGGTTGCTCCCGCGAGCCTTTCATAAACAGCTGTACAGGCGCACCGGTGGTCAGCGCGCGCAGCCGCTCGTCCATCTCCTGTTGCGACTTCTTGCAGGGAAGCGTGGAAGCTAGCTCTCCGCTCGCCACCAACTCCTTGATTATGTCTAGGCCGCCCACCAGCTCACCACCTACATACACCTGCGGATATGTTGGCCAGTCGGAGAAGGTCTTCAGGCCCTGGCGCACCTCCTCGTCCGACAGGATGTTGAAGCTAGAAAAGCGTACGCCGTGGCTGTTGAAGATCTCGATCATCTGCTTACTGAAGCCACATTTCGGCTCGTTGGGGGTGCCCTTCATGAATAACATGCACGGCGCCTGGTTTACGAGCCGTTTCAGGCGGGCATTGAGGTCCTCCTCAGGACGTGCTGGTGGTGGCGGCACTTCGCCGTGTTGCGCACGTGTTTGCACCTTCTTGGTAAGTTCAGCCGCCTTGGCGCCGTCGACGCGATCCACGGCCTTGCCTCCACTGAAGATGATAAATGTGGGCACTGCTGAAATAGCATGTTTTAGGGCCAGCTCTGGCATGTCCTCAGCCTCCACAGAGATGAACTTGACATGGGCCAGTTGAGGGTCGCTTAACAGCTCATCCAGCACCTCATTCATTTGCTGACACTGTGGCGCCCAGTGGGCTGAGAAGTGTGCCACTGTCAGCTGGCCCTGACAGGCTTCTGGAAATGCATCTGCTGATGAGATCTTGGTCACAGGCATTGTGAGGTTGGCAATGTAATGCTGCAACCTGGTACATCTGCAGTAATCTGAAAAAGATGCCAACAATGACCATCCCTTTAGTACAAGTAGACATCTGGTACCTGCTGGGGCAGCTTCTGCCTCACCATATAAGAACCTTGGTGTAATCAACATGATGAAATGATAGAATGAGATGAGAAAGAAGCCTTAATATTTAAGCAGCTACACAATTTGTCTCCACATGTTCTTGCAGGTTGCATCATTATTACAATCTATTCATTTCCTGAAAAATGCATCAGTGGTCAACACCTTTCCAGGTGTATAAACACACTACCAGTACATATTAGGTATGTATGGAGTACAGTATATATCATGACTTCATACACATTGAGAAGCTCCCAAATACCAATATCTTCAGATTTAAACATCCAACCGAGTGCTGCATGGATAAAGTGCCTTTTGGAAGCCAAAAGTTAGTTTCTGATACAAGTTTAGCATTTACATGGCATTTGTATCCATGTTCACACTTGTGTGTAAGCCCCCATGGCACAACCCATCCTCTAGAAAAAGCAAACAGGGAGTAAGAAAACATTATCAGTCCACCATATGTGGTGAAACTAGATCCACCATTTTTTTTTAATTTTGTATTTTTATTTGTACAAGGAAAACATCACATCACCAAAATGCCTTCCGTGACCCATATCTCCGTCTCCAGGATTATACCTGTGAAATCTTGCAATACATGGCCTCATTTTGGAAAGAGACCCCTGATACACTCTGAAGCAGATCTGTGTCAGTCTTAACTGGCCTTAGCTTATACTTGAGAATGACATCACAGGCTGACAGAAGACAAGCAAGCAAGAAACCGTAGAAATTGGGCTCGGCACAAAAGCTGCAACCGGCTGCAAGATGGTTACACCTATTTCTTCCACAGGCTACCAAACGAAATGAGGCAACAACTACATGGCTGCAGAACTATGAGTAAGACAAGACACATGGCGTACAACAGCGGTGCAGCAGAACAGGACGATTTTCTGAAACAATACTGTAAACTTAACTACCAAGATATTTTCCATGTGTCAAAAACGTGGATTTAAATCATATGATTTTCATGAAAACTGCAAGCTATGCCACGTCAAGGATATTGTTTCAGATGATCATGCTCTCCATACCACAATTCCTATAATATACTGTCATGTACAACATACCCGTAACGCCGGCGCCCAACAGCGTCCCGTCTTCGCTCACTGTCGGTGTTGTCGATAAATGCGGCGCATCATCTCAAGGAAGTGTGGCTAGGGCATAACCATGCCAGCTGTTGATGACGTCACTAGCAGACTAACTTTGTTTCCTTGAAAGTGAAAATGTTTCATCTGCTAAAGAAGGCTTTATTTGTGCTGACTTGCTTTTGTTGTGGTACTTGAGGAACTGATACGGTAGCTTTTATTGCTTTGTTATTATCCGGAAATTACTCTTTTTTTGCCTCCAATTTTATTTTTCCTGCTGTTGTGCCGGAAGTAGCTTGTCCACATCGACATTGAAAATATACGTGACCCAGACCCAATGTGGGGCCCCAACGATCAAGTCTGCCAAAATAGGTTAAAAAATGGGGCCCTCGAGAAGGTTGTAGAATCCTCCGCAAGTAACAGGGCATAGGAAGAGCCCTTGACCGATGTGTAGGGCCCAGGATCATACCGCGAGTGCGTCAGCAGATCAACCGAAACCAACGTGAAGGACCCCTGAGCAACCCAGAGTACCCGGCAGTTTAACACATGGGACTTCGGCTAGAGCGTATAGAGCCTTTCGGGCAAATGGGAAAAATCTGTAGAAGGCTCTTGATAGACAAGAATGCCGCGACATGCCAGCAGAAAGGGGCCCGGCTGCGCGGGGCTCTCTGAGCAAATATAAAGAAATCAAGGGCAAAGTGGAAAGCTCATTATTGATCGTATTTGATTTGCAAGTGGACATATAGGGTGACCAGAAATAGTGTAGGGCCTCTGGGCAGATTAATTAGCCTGACAACCTCTCAATCACCACCTTCTTAATCAGTAAAAATTTAATTTCGGCTGGTAGTGGGTCCTTCACTTTCGCTTGCATCTGTTCTTGGTCGCCTGGAAGCCCAAAGGCGTCCAATTTGTTGCGTTTTGCGTAAGAAAAGCTGCGTTTGTTCGACCGGCTGTGAGATCCCTAGGAGCTTAGGGCCCCCTTGGGCCCAAAGGGAAACAGCGTCGTGCCCCTCTCCCCTTGATCCACCCCTGTATGATGCCAATTTTGCACTTCTGCCTCACACCCTTGTGGTCTAATATAATTATAGAAATTCATGGACGTTTGTGGCGGAAGTGGTAGCATCATCACGACTACTGCCGGCAAAATTGAAACGTAGCACTCGGCTGAATATCATATGTTAACAAGTTAGTTGCGGCTTGTTGTATTGAGGGCATGGGCGTAGGAACAGGGGGAGGGGAGGCAGGGGGTCATGGCCTCCCACTTTTGAAAGTGGGGGGGGGGGCAGCAGGGTTACCTAGTCCGCCCCCAATTTTCAGATTAAGGTTGCGTTTAGCTTTCTTTTGCACTACATTTCACACACATGCAGATTTGCCTAGTTCACCAGCCATCATCCTCAAGATGCTTCATTTTTCCGTTTGCTTATTGGCCATCGCTTTGTGTCACGGCCACAAGACGAGGTCGCGCGACCTGTGGAAACTGCAACGCCGGGCGTGGAGGCTGTTGCTGCTATGACTCGCAAGCGCGCAGGTTCAAAACCATATGACATAGTCTTTTTCTATCAAAGATCCATTCTGACCGAATCTTGAACATCTTGGGACGAACGTGGATTAGAAATGTTGATACAAATTTAGGACCCCATTCTATCTACAATCTACGTTCAGGGAGTCTGCAATATCTCTGAAGAACACATAAAAAACATGGAACGGTAGTCTGTGTGACAATTATTTGACCACCTGCGGCAATCAGGCATGTTGCTGCAAATGAGGATTGCTATGCTGATCCGGGGCAGCTGCGCGTGTCAGCGGGCCTCCCGAGTCAGGGAGGGGAACAATGTTAATATGATGTCCTTCTAATGGCCTTCGGATCCGGAGCAGGATCGGATTCAGACCAGGAGACCCCACCCCGTGTCGCTAAAATGACAGACAGAAGACACTTTGCGATGGGACGGAGTGGCCCTTCAGCCCTTGACCGGAACTGGTAATGTGCCCCTTGCGCTCTACTTAAGGGGCCCCGTGACCGGAAGGAAAAAGGGGTCTCATTATTGGTGAATCGAGTTCTCATTATTGTTGAATAGAATGGGTTGAACTGAATGTTTAAAAAAACGAACAAGGCGTCACATGTTTGCTTGATAGTGTTCGTTTTTCAGAATGGATTAGTGAAAAAAAATTACATCAAAAGGTTTGATCATTCTCGCCTGCAGCCCCGAGAGCAAGGACAGCGATGGGTTGCGTTGCAGCTTCTGTAAAACCGAACGGTGTCGGCCACAGCAAGTGCCACCAGACTGGGGGCGCCGTGTTAATCCGTCTTCTGAACAGATAAATAGTTGCAGAAACACGAAAAATAGATATTCTACTTTAATTCTTCCAGCTCCACCACCAGATACCAGCACCACTCTGCGGTGCTTTAAGGGTCAATCCGTCGTTATCATCAGTGAAAAAATCGCACACATGAAATATGCGCCCAGACTGCCAAGATGTGATGTGAAGCGTTCAAAGGTGCTTCTTTCATTTTCGTCCGCACGTTAGCCACGACTCGGTATAAACTGCTGGCCCGACGCTGCGCGGTCTACGGAGACTGCAGCGCCTGGCATCGAGGCTTTTATTCCCCAAGACCTGCGAGTGCGCATGCTCAAAATTACATCATACAACTTGTATCACTAATCGATTCAAGTGTTTAAAGGTATTTGTTTCAGAGGCGTCATCATTTTCGTCCACCGGTCGATCATGGCGAAAAGTTATCCTCTGGACTGATGCCTCGCCGACTATGGAGACTGCAACGCCTGGTGTCGGGGTTTTTGTTGCGAAGATTTGTGAGCGCGCACGTCAAAAATCACGTTACATAAATTGCATCACTAATCGATTCTGACTGGATGTTAAACCCTTCCAGACAAACACTGCTTGGTCGTGTTAAAACACATTGTTGACCGTTCGATCTACCACCAAATTTGCGTCCTCAAGTTTCGATCAAAACATATCGATCTGCAATCGACCTTCGCGATGTCCTCAATGTCTGTAAAACCAGGTAAAACATTCTGACAAAGCTTCTGAATTCTGCCGGCTTATAAAAGGCCCACTAAGCCATTGTAAGTTAACGCCACCGGTGATTTATTCCATGTGGCCATTCAACACCTTATTTCTGCAGTTTATTGACCTTAAAAATACAAACCGAATTGATTTCACGGGAGCTTCTGTTTTCTGCTTTGGTTGCAAGGTAAAATAACAATGAAACGAAGGAAACCACATCCCTTGTTAACAAGTAAATTATATCCGGGGATTTTTTCGGCGGGGAGGTCGCCATAAGAGGGACTTTTGTTAATCCTGTTCTCTCCTTAGCAAGGCTCTGGCTGCGCCCCTGCCTACACACAGAAGCAGATCAAGTCGTCTACGTTGAAGGATGGGCAATTAAATGTCCTTTGGGCCAATTCATACCTAAGGCAGGCAATTTCCCGGAGACTTTTTATGCGGAACATAATTCGGAGGAAGATACTGTTGCAGGTGTCCAACATCTTTTACACACCAGTTAGTAGCAATGCTGATCCAGAAAAATGCAACAAAGCAGCCATATGATCAGTTCGCAATCAGTCATGCGGGAGACAGCCGAGCCTGGGCAGCGGCCGCCGATGGCGGAAGGGAGCAGTGCTCAGATGAGGAATATATGACAGAAGAGTCTTCATTCTGTGGCTTGGTTGTTAAAGGAGGATGTCCAGTTCTATGGCTTTTGTGACAGTGTTTTGGCAGTGTCAAGCTTCCGAATTTGTTTCCGCCTAAAATTATGCGACAAGCCTTATCTCTTGAAAAGCAGCCAGCAAAATGAAGACGCATGACAAATCTGTCGCACTGTGAGCCATTGACTCACGTTCAATATTCTCACCAGCCTATGTCCAAACCGCACTTTGGCATCTACCTTGTAAAGGCAGATGCCTTCTCAATGGCCCAAAATGCCTAGCCGCTCGTGGAATTTCGCGTTCCCAGGAAAGACAATGTTGAAATGGAAGAATAATCATGGGAGATCGATAGCCTTATTTGCCGAATCACATAGATGAGTCGAATAGGCAAGATTGCGCACCAGTGAGAAACAGCTCTGGATGCATATCTAGCATAGCAGCATGACATCTGAATGAAGGGCGATAACAACCTCCATGTCTACTCCTCCCCCCCCCCCCCCCGGTCATCGGGCTTGCTTTCCCGAAAAAAATTCCGAAGTACGCCCTGAGCTTGTCCCCCCCCCCCTACTTTTTGAAACGTTTCTACGCTTATGATTGAGGGTAATAGCGGTGTAATCAATTTTTTGCGTTTTGGGGCAGGGGGAGCGGCGTCATTCGCGGTGTGTGATCGGAAGATAGGATATCGTTAGCTACTGAGGTGCCCGCCGAGATATTTACATCAGTGCTTAGTACTTTGAACAGTGATGTGGACGTACCCCGATCATCTATGGAAGCTGCTCATCGCCTTCTCTCAGTGCGGTCTCCGGCCGGTGTCTTCATCCACAGCGGGCATCGCGGGCATGGGCAACCCACAGCGGGCATCGCTGGCGTAGTTTTTCTTTGGACAGTTATCTCGGCACTTAGGTGCGTGAGGATGCGTAGCTCCGTGCTATGGTACTAGGTTCGTGACGGGTGGGTTCTACTCCCGGGGCGGCGGTCGATTTTCGTTTGGCCCCCTTTTGCACGCTTATATCGGCTTTTCTGGAGCAGTTCATAGGCATGTAAACAAAGTTTTGAGATGCTACGCGCAGTTCAACCATTATTAATTTAATTATGCGGTCAGGTGACGGTCATGATGAAAACTGTGGCGGGCATTCGGCCGTTACGTCACTATTGTCGGCCCCGGACATACGATCCTTGTATTTAGACGGGGCCGCAGCCTAGCCGGTAACTACGAGTTGTCCGGTTGTGATGTGAACCACGTCGCATAGAGAAGCCTCGCTCGTAACAACAATAATCGGATTTCAACCACTTTGTTTAGTTTTAGTTGTATATGTCGCAATGTGTAACTGAAACAGAAAACACAAT